TCGTGTTTTTGGTTGCTATTCTACAGTTATGAAAATGACGTCTGATTGCGTTGATTCAAATGCCAATGAAATATCTGAGCAGCAATGCACATGAATGTCAATCACTAGAGCCGGATTGGTCAATGTACTGTTTTTTTCATGAATGTTTGCATAGATCGTGATTAACGTGATGTCTTTAGGTGGCGCGAGACAACGCATGTTGCCCGAGCTTAGGAAACGCAATGTTGAGGTGCAACCGTTGACATGCTTGACTGCTATTAACTACAAAATGCTTACTATAATACCACACCATAGTTGTTCGACCTGTGCATTTTGAGATAACCGCGTAATTTTGGGTGAATTTTAAATAACTTTGAATGAACTGTGTCACTATGTGGGATTTTATCCATTTTGTAGCCATTTCCGGTTCATGCAAGCTCCGGTTCATGCAAGCTCCGGTTCATGCAAGCTCCACCTTGAGGTCATTTCCAGGTCAAAATTTTGATCCAGTTACGCGGGTCTTTCACAGTTGAAGCATCGAATAAGAGAGGAAAGGATGTTAAGTAAAAGGTAGCGCATAAAGCTTCTAACATAATATTAAAAACGTGCCCAACCGTATCCCTGCGACGGACGGGCCAGGGCCTGGTCGTCGTGCGGAACAACGATGAGCAGGCTTCACAACAGGCAACATTTGGGGAGGAGGGGAAGGGGGAGGCGTATTGGAGCTTAAAGGGGGTGCTCCACATGTGGACGGGGTTTTGAACTAAAATAGCCATCTTGAAGACCTTTTGGTGCTGTTCACAATCCTGCCCTTCTTGTGACTTAACCTCCCCTAGTTCCTGAGCTATACGGCCGCGAAAATTGGGATAGGGGTATCGGGGGAGTATTTCAAAGTCACCTTGGCGTTCGTGACGTCATAGAAGCGTCATCCAAGCCCTGCCATTTTATAAGCCATGCGATGATCAAAGCCAAAGTTAGTAAAGTGAAGTCAAAGCATGGTTGTCCAGGCGTTCATATCTGGTGTTCGTGAGCGCAGTTTCCGGAGAACACGGCCGTCAATTGGCTTTCAATTAATGCTGTGCAAGGAAAGAAGACGTAATCAAACCGTAGCGTATTGAGTAGCGCATTTACTAGAGAATTGTGCCGTCTAGGGCAATCTGTTCCACCTAAGCACTTCCACCAATAGTTACAAGTGGGCTTGTTTCATCATACCTGATGCTTACTTGAATACCTTTAAATGTGAAACATTTTCTGTAAGTTGCGCCCAATGATCAATATTGTCAACGTTCGCCGCCCGTCATCATAAGCCCTGGCAATTGAACAGCCGGCCGTGGTTTGTAGTCGTTACAAAAATTATGTCCACGGCCGGGATTCACACGCCAACCCTTCTGTGAGACTGTATATGTTCTTTGTTGTGCCGGCAACGGGCCAACAGTAGTCGCCCATCTGCTACAAGCACTGGCGGACGTAAAAGGCACCGCGGGCAGGCCCAGGCCCGCCGGCGGGGTGACGTGCTGCACGTGGGGAAGCTGCTGGGCAGGCCTTGACAATACGGCCGGTATTCCCTCGGAAAACACGAGGTCGGCAGAAGAATGGTCTGGTGATGAATGGCCAGACTCTGCTACTTGCAGGCGGGCCACGAGTGCCGGACGCCCTCGCGCTGGACGCCCTCGTCCGTCCACACCGTACGGCGCTGTCCTGTGCCGGCGGGCCGTGAGTGCCCATGTCGCGCTCGCGCACCCTCTGGTGCTGCCCTCTGTCGCAAGTGCCGATGCCGGCCGGCAGATGGCGTCTGTTCCCTTCCGAGCTGGACAAGACCCGGCCGGCGCCCCGCGAACGCCCTTCGCTGGTCTCGCAGATACGTGAACGGTGTTTTGAAATGTAGAGGGCTTGGCGCGCCTCATTGCGATGCCGCAGCAACCTATGGCGGTACACACCCGGAGATCCGGTCTGCTTCGGAAAGTTCGACAGATCTTCCCCTTCCCCTGCGCCATATCTCCCGTGTCCGTTGCGAGTTCCTCCAGGATGAGGGGATCTTTGTCAACCAAGCATGGCCGCCGTGCGAAGATCAATCAGGGAATCGAGCTGGACAAGACAACGCAAAACACAAAATGTTAAAAATGTCTTGAGACTGCAGAGTTCCCCTCACTACCCGGCTACAACACCCGTCTGGCTACAAGCTGCCGATTCCCGGCTGCACGCTACCGACTACCCGGCTGCAAGCTGCTGACTCCCTGGCTGCAAGCTGCCGACCCGTCTGGCTACAAGCTGCCGACTCCCCCGGCTGTCAGCTGCCGACTCCCCGGCTGTCAGCTGCCGACTTCCCGGCTGCGAGCTGCCGACTCCCCGGATGTAAGCTGCCGACTCCCCGGCTGCGAGCTGTTGCCGACCGACCCAGTATCGCTCGGCGGCGTCGGACGGTGGATGCAGGTAATTGTAAAGAACAGCAGGTGTAGGGCATTTGCTGTGTGATGGTGGTGTACCAGGCGTATTATGGAAGCCCTGAACGCATGCGAGGGTGGGTTTTGACAGACCAACATCATCTGTCAAATGAGTCTATGAGGTAAATGTGTGTATGTTGATACTCTCTTCGCGCAAAACCTATCATGTTGAAAAAAAGTTCCGCACTTGGCCATATGACTTCGCGTACCTAAATGCATCATTTGCAAAAAAAACATAGCTGTCTTCGGCCTACTTTTTGAAAGATAAGCCCACCAGGGCTCAAGCCACGGATAAGACCCATATTTGTGCCCGAGCAATCATAGAGATCGGGACCGGTTTAGTAAAGCTTACTTCAAGTCTTGAGTTATTATGTTCCCACGGTGATAATACAAACATTACCCGAAACCGGTAGCGAGACCTAGGAAGGCAGTGCCATCATTTTGCCTAGATGTTGTGTCTTTCACCACAGAAGGCTACCGACACGAAGTTAAAAATCGGCATGATGCTTGGCACCGAGCTCCGGGAATTTAAGAAAATCCTGGCTGCATCCTGTGTAGAACACTTGGAAACTGAAAAAAAACATTTAGTCTGCACAACAGCAGAACATTTTTGCAACAACCGCTTGAACTGAATGCCATTCGCACACGTGTGTCGACTATCAGATGCACGCCGCTCACAGACATCACGCAATGTATCCAAAAGGCGGTTGTACATGCCATCAGCAACGAAAAGCTCATCCAGGTTTCTACGGCTCAAAGTTGTTGGAGAATCCTCACACAAATTACACTTGACCCATATTTCAACTAAACATAGAAATATTCCGTCTCCACTGTATCTATGGTCACTGGTCCGAGGCAGCTGAATGATTTAGGTTGTGTAATCTTAGCGGTGATAACCGCTTCTGAGTTGATCACACACTGAGAAAAATCTCGTTGCAAACTCGGTTGTCACAGAAAATACAAGTTTTTCTGTACCTGATGTGCGTACTAGTTTGCAGCGATTAAAACGGTGACAATAGAATGCGCTGATGATAAATTCATTTTGTCGTCACCGAGTGTCAGTGGCTGCTTCACAACCAACCACCTAGATTAATATGCCTATTTGACACGGTTCTATAGCAGTATACCACGGCTTCGGCGGCCGATTATTCGACAGAAACGTTCGGCCTGATCGCAGCGTTTGAAATGTTTTCGGACGTTAGTTATGCCTTAGCCTGCTGGTGCAAGGAAGTCGCATTTCTACGATTTTTACAAGACTGGGAAATGGATGGTGGTCAGATGGTGGCAGCGTGCTTTGAGGGCTGCAGCACAAAATCTTTAAAACTGCGGCATGAAAGCATTACATTGGCAGCGGCAGTGGCGGCAGCTGGGGCTGTTCTGGGACCTCATAATGAAACCCTTGCTTTCGAAAATGGCCTTCCGTCCTGTTTTCTTTTTCCAGGAAGTTCATTAATTTGAATGGAATGACCTATGTGCGTTTTTGCCAAGCATGCACCGAAGTAAAATAAACAAGCAAACAGACCTTGCCCGTAGGAGCAAAACAAACAGCCCGTTAGCATCACGTTTCCTTATGTTGTATCTGGGTGTTTATAGTACTTTCGAGGCCATAAGAACTTTTGAAACGATATGGTCACAGCCGAAGCCCATGATGCGGGATGAAAGGAAAACGAGTGGAAGGTAAAAACAAACATGCAAGGAATGGCTGGCAAAAAGGTAACTTGCTAAGATTCTAGCGTAATACTGAAGAAAGTCGCATCGGTGTCACCCCAACGAATGGGCCAAAGCCTGGTCACCGCTCGAAGCATCGATGAGGAGGCTCCACTACAGGTAAACGTCAGGGAGGAGGGAAGAGAAGCTTAGGTTGTTCTTATAGGGAAGCACAGCTGGGTGCTATCAGATAAGTCCCGCATCGTGTAGGCGCAGGTATTGGTCCACGTAATCCCCTTGCTCGAATCCACCAAATGACGTCATTATGCGATATGCTATGGACATCTCAGAGCGGTATCCATCTGAACTTCTAGGTGATAGATAAACAGTACGGCGGCCGGTGGACCCATTTGTTTTCCGAGTTGTCGTTAAAATAAACGTCTGCTAGTCGGAAAGCCATTTTGTTAAGGTTCTTCTACGAGGAACAAGGCTAAAGCACTGTCATATTTGTATGTAAAACATTCCTCACAGATGCACTTAACAACTTACAAAACATAGCAATTGCTACAGAACGAAAAATCAAATGCTCACCATAAGTCCTGCGGAGGTTTTCGTGTGCGTCACATTCATATTCGTTCCAGCCCATGTCCGCCCGCGAGTCTTCGACGGCTTACTCCGTGCCGAAGAGAACGTGGGTCGGGTAGCCAGCGTCCCCACGTCCACCTTAACTTGGATTTCATGGTCCCCCCTCCTCGCCAGCCGAGCCTCGGGTCGCCAGACAGGAGGGCAGCCCACTGTTGCAAAGAGCAGTGGCTCCCCGTAGTGCTATCCGACTCCGCGCACTGAGCTCGAGGCCTCACACGCCTCGAGCATGTCGTAGTGCGCAAAAACGAGCCGTGCGTAACAGAAGACCATCGCTGATGACCGCCTGTGGGGCTCCCTGGAGGCAGACTGTAAATATGTGCTGATAGTTCGAAGGAAACGTGCGAATATGCGCGTCGGAGAGACCATCTGCTGAATACATTGTATGCGTCACCCAACAGTTTGAGGAAGAGGAGGTCATCCGCAGCATTCTCCTCAGTCTTGCTCTAAATAAAACCGTTTTGGCTACTAAGATTTTATCAGTTATGCATACCCTAGCAATAATAAGATACTTTGCTCATTTTGAGTTTGTCCTGTTGCGAGGCAACCAGAGAGGATGTTGTATGCTAATATATTTTCGGATCTAAGACCAAGCAGCGTTTCAAATATATTGTTTGCTATTGTTCTAATCACCTTTCCGGTCTTCAATGCTCGCAGTCAACTTCTGAAGCAGTCAGTGAATATACAGCGCAATGCCCATACTGAAATGGCCAAAACACGCTACATGCAGCGATGAGCCCTTCAACATATTTTGGAAGACTTACGCGGCAGCTTAAAAATTTAATGACAACTTGTAAGCATTTCCCAAAGATTGCCATAACTTTCCCACAAGTGTCACACAAAACTAGCCAGATGGGCATTTCGAAGTGGCGGGGACATTGGTACATACGATTCTGCCGTGGTCCGAACAGTAGCACTGCTTGCCATTCTCACAGAAGAACTTGTCCGGCGTACAAGCGCGGTCCATACATACGGCCGCGCCGCTATTGCGTCCTAACGCGCACGTGGGAGCATTCGATGGACAATTCTTGCCGGCGCACGGGTCGGGGAAGGCGGGGGCGGTACAGTGGCGTCCTTCTTTGGACACGCTCGGACAGCAGAGGAGATTGGATACACAGTCGTTGTCGTACTTGCAGCCGTTGCCTTTGCCCTGGGAAACCTGCTTCGGCGACGGACAGAAGCCGGGCTTGGGCTTGGCCCGAGGCTGGCAGCTGAACCTGTAGCGGCAGTCGGGGAAGTTGGAGCAGGCTGGATCGGAGCCGGGTATGACGGCCATGATGCAGACCCGGCCAGGCAGGCAGCGGGCTATGGCGCACCCGTCCGCCACACAGACCGGCACGGGGTAGCAGGGCGCGCGCACGCAGACCACCTGCATCAGCACGCAGGTCTGCACGCTGCTGCAGCGCACGTCCTGACAGCTGGGGGGACGCTCCACAACGGCAGCTGGCGACTTGACGCACACATTTTGGTAGCCAGCGCAGATGCCGAAGTGGCACAGGCGCTGCAGCTCGCAGTGCTGGCCCTTTGGACAGGCCGGCGAGCACTTGCCACGTTTAGGCGCCGGGACGGGGTCTGGAAGTGGAAGAAGCATTGTCACCTCTTTTGCGGAAATGCGTTGATCAGGGGTCGTGACTGCTATACTCCGTCACCGCTGTTGGCTGGGGAATCATAGGAACTGTCCTTCCCAGAGGTACATCCTCCGAGAAAGAGAGACGAACAATGCTGATGCACTCGAAGAAATACTCTACTTGTCACCCCACTCCTGCTGCTTCTTTACCTCGGCAATTGTGTAAGGCCCAAAAGGCACGTCTTGGAATGTTTTTATGCTGACTAAAACGAACCAACCATTTATCAGATTTTTAAGGAAGAGAACGATTGGCAACGTAACAAGCACATGCAGTTGGAATGCATAGAGCAGCGCAACGAAACAGGTCGGTGGATGGTAGCCCATGATGCTGTTGCTGCACAAGTGGACGCGGAAGGATACGCCCGCAGGGGCGACAGAATGCGACCATTACTCAGCCTGCTGCGATGTTACGCTTTACCAAGTGACATTTTATTTCTGTGACAGTTGATATTTGTGTTGCGTCGTTAGCCGACGTCCGGGTCTGCCCTGTCAGTATACGGGAGGTCGCCACGCCAGCCAAGGCATCTAAAGGTCAAACAAGTCATGTGTAGACATCATGCATGTACCTGGATCCCAGAAATGGCCGCGAGCTGGCAGATCCCTGAACCCTGGATTCTAGATCGTTCAGGATGCAGTTATAGCTCTTAATAAACTATTTTTTTTAAATTGCTGTCAACCAATTAGGGTCCACAATCTATATCAACTTTTAATTAATAGTTTTCACGTCCTTTCATGCCTTGATATAAGCTTTACAGCATTCCTTCAGCCCGCCCAAGCCATGATGCGTCTCAATTTCAAAACGTGTGCCGTACAGCTATAGCAGGGTGCCAAAATTGTGGCATTTGGCGGCACCAGCCATGTACGACATGCCGTTTTCCTTCGCTGCTTACAGATGGTAGATAACTTGACGTTTCCACAACGTGGAACTTCACTTATCCTTGACATTGATTTGGCAAAAAAGAGTTTATGGCTGGAGCAAAGATGATGTAAAACACTTGCTGATTTCAAAATTGCTCGCTTTTTGAGACAGTGTAGAAACAAAAATGAAAACGAAGATGTTTTCTGTTTGATGCACTGAGCTGTAAACTGAACTAACTCAATTTCAACATCCAAGGCAAGACTTCCTTTCAGTGGTATCGGATCGGCTGAAGGCCATCGGAAAATTCCAAATAATTTTTCAGCGTCATCTGTTAAGGAGTGGTGGCTCTCTGCTTTGATATCATCCACCCACATCAAATACGACACGATGACAGCGGTTATAAATGAGTAATCGCTTAACAATGAAACTCGAAGCGGTGCGTGGTACATCAAAGTTCGGTGCGCTCTAAAAGCACGCAACACGTAATAACGCTTAACAAATTTCCCCTTTGTAGTTGCGGAAACTGGGAATCACATCTTAGTACCCTGTAACAAATCACGGTGCAGGATATATGCTTCTCATCCATTAGAGTTCATTGCTTACTCTTGCTATCTACCTTTGGAGGCAGTTTGGGTTCGACTGCGCAAGGCACTGCTGGAAGACATCATGCCGAACCCCACGTGGGACGCGTCACATCAGCGGCGTCACTTTATATAATTATGGGTGCCAATAGCGTCACGTCATATACTATTGGGAGCTCAAGCCCTCCCCAATGGTTAGCTTCCGCTCCCCAGTGCTCATCTGAGCCCCCTCAAACGAATGTAGCAAACATGAATACCGGACCGAGAAAATGCACAAAATTTCCCTGGAAGGCTGGCATGCCAGGCACCTGAAAGTAATTCCATTAATTTGTTGTTGATATTGTGCCATATAGTATACTGCGGGGACCTGATATAGCTCCGCCGTTCCAACACCTGATATAGCTTCACCATTCCAGCACCTGTTTATGGTTGGCCTGGCTGCAAATATCGACCGGGTTTTTTCATGCCTTTTCAAGCCTGTCAAGTTTTGTTGTGGGGGCTTTCTCACATAAGATGCCATATGTAAAGCATGACGGGTGTAAGATGTCGTAAATCTACTTACCACCTTCACACTTTAAAAAGAGTGAACACACATCACGAGCATTTCGGTCATTCAGGCTCTCGTGTCCTGTCACGCTGCACGCGGTACTGTGCTAAGGGCTACTCGAAGCACAGGTGGCTAACCAGGATTCTGATGGCACGCACCGAACACAGGCATATACATATATAAAAGGCATGGCGGGTATAGGAAGAAACTTGACGATAAGTGATAGTGCTCACCACGACTAGAGAACTCCTCATAAGCGTATTAAACCGTGTACTTATATATATATATATATATATATATATATATATATATATATATATATATAGTTACATAGTTACAATTAGAAAGTTAATATATATATATATATATATATATATTAACTTTCTAATTGTAACTACGAAGAAGGCGACTTTGCTCGAAAAAGTATGTCAGTTTGCTCAAACGCTAAGAGTAAGGGTGTCTTAGTACCACGATTACGTTTCTATGTTCGACCTCGGGAAAAGATTACGGTTGCGCAATAATTCCGATATCCTGAAAACCGCGTAACCATTTCGTCCTGCTAAAATTTGTACGGTAAAGTTTGCATTTGTTGCACCGCACTCCGATGCCACGTTTCGGGCTACCCTATACGACACCTGTATGCTTACCCAGTGGTATGCGTACTCTACGTAATCATGCGTTGCCAAGGGGCTCCAAAACCGGTCACGAACGCTGCGTGTCGTTTTGCCAGCATGCAACATCTCTGGGCAGTGGCTAGAAAGGACCTTATATGCTAAGTCCTCCATACGCATTTTCCTTTTAGCCCACCGGCTTCGTCTACCGAACCTTAACATCACCTGATCACGCTGGGGTCTCAAGGGATCAGCGAATTGACATGAACTTTAAGGCAACACCAACCGTTCACGCTACCCCAAGGCCGTGCAAACCACTTTATGGCCCGGCGACGGTCACCTGTATGCACAGGCTGGCATCTTGAAACAGGAGGATCACATGTAGGCGGCTTGTCTGCTTTATCCTCCTACGACTTCGTGGTGATCCTGAGGTATTTCTTAACATTGGCGTACGCCGGATTTTGCAATTAGGGGGGGGGGGGGGGCGCCAGATTTGAATGTGAATCTTAGTTAAGCGCACCGCAGGCACGCGTGACTCCTTGTGTGTCGTAAAACGGCATCATATATTTTCGACATTTCTTTCTGTGCCTGAAATTATTAGGTCGGGTGCCTATGAACGCATGACATAATTTGGTGCGGGGGGTATGGCACCGGGAGTTACTATGTGTGTACGCCCCTGCATTTCTATCGAGGACAACCTTCACAGACGGCGCGCCTCACTCAATGTTCCGCGAGTCCGCTCTCACGGAGTAGAGGGGATATTTTAGCACAATTACGCTCACCAGACTAGAGATAAAAAGATGCACGAAGCGCTCTCCGCACCAGTGGTGCCTGCGAGGGCTGCTCTTTTAGAAGTCATGCGGGTGTTCCGAATTATTTTGTATGGGAGTGGTGGCCATAGCTTTAAAGTACAGTTTGGCGATTTATCTTTCACATGGTTGCATCACAAAGAGAGCGACGAGGAAGAGAATCGACGCAGTGTGTTTGGTGTGCTCCAGAGTAAAAGAAATGTTGGCCTGGTGTTCAAGTCTTTTTTTGTTAAGGAATTTGATCATCAGCTCAGCTTCGGAACGTTGCGGATTCAGTTTAACTTTTAATTTTTTAGATATTTCCTGACAGTGCACATGACACATTTGCTGCAGCGTTTCCACGTGAATTGTGTCATGTGTACAATCTTCTCTGGTCTGCACATCTCAGTTCGCAACATTCCGCATAAATTTTATTTTTGCATCTTGCATTAACTTCCATGGACGATAAATGAGACATCTGGGGATCACACCCAATTTTGACGCTGTCACATGCGGTTAAAATGGAATCTCTATGAATTTTTTTTCTTCTCTCTTTGGTTTTCTTTTCTGTTCTTTTTTAAGCTCCTAAGACATTATTGTATTGGCCAAAATAACTTTATTAAGCAAAAGAAACTAATCCTTGACAATGAAAACGCAAATTTAAGAGACCCAAATCCGGGAAGGGGAAGGCTTCGGGAGTAGGTAGGTTATCTCTATAGGTTGACACCTCATTAACCGATCTTAAAAAGTAACACCACTGCGCCTCACAATACTGCAACAACAGAACGCAAGAGGTGAGCATGGCCACCAGTCAACCCCATTTCCGAAGACGGAACTGAGAATAAAGCATATATTGTTTCCGTATACGGGGCCATTGAGTGAGGGTTCATATAAACACAAACAAAAACTATAAGCTCTCTCTGGAGTGGTAAAAACATGCATAGTGTGCTGTTTGCATTGAGGTAGCACAGTGGGAAGAGGTTTCCTCCCCAAGATTTGTATTGCTCTCTCTCTCTCTCTCTCTCTCTCTCTTCTCTCTCTCTTCTCTCTCTCTCTCTCTCTCTCTCTCTCTCTCTCTTCTCTCTCTATCTCTCTCTCTCTCTCTCTCTCGCGACTCGCTCTCTCTCGTCTCTCTCTCTCGTCGCTCTGCTCATTTCCTCTCTACTCTCTCTCTCTCTCTCTAGCTCTTCTATCATCTCTCTTCTCTATCTCCATTCTCCTCTCTCGCTCTCTCTCTCTCTCTCTCTCTCTCTCTCCTCTCTCTCTCCTCTCTGTCGATCTTTCTTTTGCAATTTATGAAAGAGAGAGCAGCATTGTTTTTGCGCGAACGTGTTTTTAAAAGGCAACATTGTCCATATCTCAGTGGATTACTGGTGTCCCTGTGAATCCGACAGTATCAACCTGGCTGCGTTGAATGGTTGATTGCCTACGCTGCTTGGCGCGTACTTGACCGTCCCGGTTACCGGCGGCTGACGGTAAGCTTAAGAACACCAGACATAGATGGATTCTTAGTGGACTTCCGAGTGGGCGGGACCGGTATCACACAGTGACGCGCGCCTTTGTGCCGAAGCGGGTGTCCGTTTTTTCAAATCAAACCGTGCTGATGCCATATTGGATGTGCTGGACTCTGCGACTGCAGGTTGGCACAATCCAAACCCGTTTTCTGCCCTTGTCTTATGTATCATGCATATAATAGATGAGAGCTACTCACCGTTACGATTCAATGAGGATGCAAAAGCTTGTTCGCATAGTTATGCTACAAGAACACACAGGGCTGCGTTATTTGCACGCATGTACTTCATCAAGCAGTTCGACGCCGCTTTTTAAGGCGTTGTGTCATTTGCTGCTGAATTTAACATGGTGGCACGACCAGCGGTTGCAGCAAAATAGGCCTATCAAAAGAGCGTCTCGTCGGGGCGAACAACGCTTCTGAATGTACACACATTCCGCTTAGTTGACGTCACGTTCAGCTGGGTCTACGAGCTGCCCTGCAATGGCGTATTTCACGTCGGGAAACCAAATCAGCACGCCACGTTCAAAGCAGCCCGGAGCGGAGCGCGTCAGCTCACAGCAGGGTCTGCGTTCCTCAGTATCCACCATGCCCTTTATCTCACCGGCCGCCTCCAGCTGCCTGACGCAGCAAAGCAGCAGCAGAACGCCAGCGATGCCTCGAAGATGACCCATGGTGCTGCCAAGCGATGACCTGACGACTGACTGAGGTAGGGCAGGAAGCGGGGCTGACGCCGCACCACAAGCGACCCCAGTGACGTCACTGACAGGTGGGCCGGCCGCTCGACGAGCCAGCAGTAGGTGTCCGACGTTCAAACCAAAAGGTCAAACAACAAATACGGGTAAAGCCAGAAAGCGTCCTGCGCACATGCTGGAGGCGCGTCAGCAGTTTTGCTTTGCAACTGCCACCGGTGGCTGATTTTGCCGTGTTTGCAGCGTGATTGTGAACACTACGGTCTTTTGAAGTATTTCACTAATATTCTCAGCATTTAGCGTTCTTATAAGTCTGCTGTCACGATAAGTTGGTTTCATTACAGAATTAAATCTAACCCGTAGCTAGGCGACGACCTACAATAACCCAGGCACGAATAGAGAGGGTGTCATCAGACGTGCAGGCTCATGAACTTCGTCGGACGTGCGAATGGTCCTTATTTTCTCGCTTGCTTCACGTGCTCCCACCTCATGCCAGTGGCTCGAAGCAAGATGGAGACATGGAAATGAATTAGATAGAATATGCAATGAAAAAAATCACTGAGATGTTACAACGGCATGGGGGAATGGAACTGGAGCAGTATAAGCTAATATATTTAACGCAAAACAACCTGGACATTCGCTCAGAAAAGTAAGAACTTTACAGTCAGGGAAAACGGGGGCCGCTACATGTGGAGCGATGACAACGACACTGGCCACTGCTGGGTGGCCAGAAGAGGCAGGGGGAGGGGGGAGGGTGCGGGGCGTACATGAGCCGAGGTTCATACTGCAATTGGGCAAAGGCTGACAGAATCATTCCTTCTCGATTTACGTTGGCGAATTTCCCTTCACCTTCCATCATTATGTGTTTGCTGTGCTGTGCTACGCTGAGCGATCCTCTCTTGTTATGCCCCATCTTGTCATCTCATTCCCAGTCCTGTCTTGACATATCTTGCCTCCTGCGCTGCCCTGGCATCTCCTGCCTTGTGCCATTATTTGATCTATTCTGTTCTTCCTTGTTCTTCCTCATCCCATCCCGGGTACTGACTTGTTTTGTCCTGTCCTGTTGTCCTTTGTCTTCCATCTCCCGCTTTCTGTCATGTTATGCCCGGCAATGACAGAACCTCTATGGAGACTAAGGAACGGCAAACGCGATTTTTTGCCCGTTCTTTACGTGTACCTTTTCCCAAGGTGTAAGATTCCCTCCAGTTTCGCCGTTTTTCAATTCAACATCGGCTGCTCACCCTCAGCATGCCACGCGTCGCCATAATACATGTGGCGAATTCCATTTTCTGGGAAATGAAAACAATTCAAGATAATTCGGAAACGGTTTTTTTAAACCAAATTTGAAAAATGAAAAAATGAAACAATTTATTTGTCCATGTAAAAAACAAGCTATGCAGCTTTTCCTTTACCTAACACCTTTGCATGCCATTGACAGCTTGCTATGCATTTCAAATTATTTAATGCTGATCGTTATGAAATGAATTGGTTCTGAAAGATATGCTACAAACCGTTGATAGAACACACTAGAGAATGCTACTGACTTTCTGAAACATAACATGAAAAGTTTCCCATAATAAAGGGCATTGATGTTACGTCGTCAGCACAGCAAGCTATACCCATTAATGCCTCCTCTCGTTTCGTTACTACTTACCATGCGACTGAGCTGCCGTGGTCAAGCTTAGTCGTAGTCAAGCTTGGGGACATGGATGTGAATAGTACATTGTCGGTGTTTTCACTAAAGCCTGTGACGCAGCTTATCCACTCACGGGCATTATCTTGTTGTCATTCAATTTGAGCGCGGGTATGATTCGCTGAGTAGTGACTGGGGTTACTGGATGCAGGTTAGAGCTATTCAACCCGAAGAAAAAATAGCTCTTTTTGGAAAAAATCAGAATTTTAGGACACTTCCCAGACAGGCAACTGGTTCATCGCTATAGTTTGGATTGCACATTGAACGATAACTTTCCTAAAACGGCAGCTCTGGTCTATAAGGTAAGTCGCACTCTGTAGCCTTTAAGTCTAACTGAAGCCCGGTGAACTGCTCGGTCAGTGGTGGCGCCGGTGGCAAATGTCTGAAACGTTTTTACCGTGCGCTTCTACGACGCTCTCATCGCGCTGTCATGTCGTCCAGCGAGCTTTGAGCTGCGTGGATCGGGAGGGCTCTGGCAACGCTCAAAGCGTGCTGCTGCCGAAGGTCAGAGCACGGTTCCAAGTGCATGTGATGCCTGAGCAGCCACGGCTGGGACCGCATCCGGCGCGAGGCTGGAGTGAGGTCAGCCCTCCGCCTTATAAGCGGCCAGTTGCCCTCAGTCGGCACAACTGCTCCCACAGCAGGACACCCTTCAGAGCCAAGATGAACGCCAAGCTGGTGGTAAGGGGTCGACGGTGGGGACTATGGATCGGCATGCAGCCTCATTTGCAGAGTTTAGAGAATATGCCATGGATACGCCGCTCTTCCATATTAAAGTTCCGCTGCGCGAGCTTTTCATCTACCTGGCTGAAGGATTTTGTGCTGTATGGTATTAGCGGGAATCATCACTGCTAAGTTTGTGGCATGAAGAAAAAAACTCGCAGCGAAGACCGATGCCACAAAATACAGGTGCTTTTGTGCTCGATTTCTAAATCAGTTCACAGAGACAGCAACGGTCGAATTCACCTCCGTTACCCCTTAAAGTGATTCCAGGCGTACGTCATTAGATGCCAGACAATGAATAGCCTAGTTTACCACAAATAGTTGCCGTTTTTAAACAGCAGTGTGCCACGGCATCTACCGTCCAGTTCTGAACTGAAAGGACTGGACAGGTGCCCGACATCCGAAAGGTTTTCAGACGCGAATTGTGCCCCTTATCTAGCAAGCCTTAACTAGCTGGTGAATGAAATAAACGTTTAGTGATTCTGATTTCGTTGTGCAAAGTCATATGCAGACACCGTTTATTGATTTTAGACATCCATTATCAGAATAGAACGAGTAAAGAGCTTCTCAACACGTTTCCGGCGTCTAGCCGCTCGACCACTGGCACAGGTTTTGACTTAAGGCCAGAGGAACGCCTTCAGTCATGGAGTATCTGTTAATGAAATGACATTTATCAGTTTGCTGGAAACTTTTATAATGAAATGTAACTTTCATACTTACTCATTTGTGTGCAAGCCAACAGCTCCTTTTTCCATCAGCACTTATCACAAACAAACCTAATGAATGAGATATTAATTTGTGATTAAGCGTACGCATGTGTAATAATTTGATGTGTGAAATTCCAGCCAATACCCGCAACGTAGTGAGCAATACTTGCTAACAGCCATGCGGGATGTCTAAGCCCACGCGTGGCGGACCTGCAGGCTCAAAAGTATCATCACTATTGCCAGTGTTGTGCGGACGCCTTTTGCGACACCCCTTTCGGTACGGAGTCGACACTTCCGGCGCTTCTGCCCCGTCGTCCCCCACCTGCCGGGGTAAGCTTTGCAAGGTACTGGCCCTCAGCCCCTCCTTCAGAGGCGTAGTGGTAGACAGCGCACCCGATGGGACGGTGGAGCCCATCGGCAGGCAGCGGGCGCCCGGCGTGACCTTTGCTTACGCGTTACGGTCTCTACAGCCGGCACGCTCTGGAGACCTGGCCTGACCGGCCTGATCGGCCTGTCCGACATCTTAGTCCGTTGTTGCCTTTCCCTATAAATATCGAAGGCGGGATCTCTATCTGTCCCCAGCACATCACCTCTATAAGCTTGTAAGGCCTGCCATACACCACGTTGGAAGAGAACGGGCTGTATCCCGGTCTCTCTCACCGCGCTGCACACCACCGGATAAATCCAGTTACCAACGTGCATGGCCCTACATCTCGGGCAGTCCGAACTGGTCCCTGGCTACATCATATGACCTACACCTCTTCACGCCGCCACGCCTGCGGTAAAGTGAGGGACAAATGGAACGAGTCTACAGTCTCCTGGCCCAAAATGAATGGAACCGTGCATTCGAGTCGCGCTATCCTATCAAACATTCATCCGCTTCAGAGCAGGACTGCGGTTGTCTAGCTCCCCTGACTCGTGGCATCATCCGGGCCGTATCGCTCGGGCGTATCCCTCAGTGACCGTTACGATTCTCTATACGATTCGGCCTCCGGGAACGGACGACAGTTGCTCGTCGAACGTAAGTCTGGCAGTCTGGTGGGAGTTGACCCCGTCGATGCCAAAGCAGCTACTCCCCGTGGCTGCCCATTTAGTAGGCTTTTGACGCCTGCTGGGGTCATACCACGTGGGTGTAGTGACACCACGCGCACTGAAGGGAATGCTCCCCATTTATGTGGGGTTGTGAAGTGAAACGGCCATGGAAATGACCAAATGGAAATGGCCTCAAAGACTTTTTGGCGCTATTCACATTCCTGCTCTTTTGAAGACCTAAGCCCTTCTAATTTCTGAGCTTTACTCCCGCGAAAACTTGGAAAGGTATGTCGGAGGAAGCATTTCAAAGTTACCTTGGTATTCATGACGTCAAAATGGTGTCATTCAAGTCCTGCCATTCTATAAGTCGTACGACGATCAAGGCCAAATAAATGTTGAAGTATTCAGATCTAGCATTCGTGAGCGCGATCGCCAGATATAACGGCTGTCAATTGGCTCTCAATCGATGTTGTGCATGGGACGATGACGTACTTAAACCACGACGCATTGGGGAGCACATTTACTAAACAGAGAATTGTGCCGCCCAGAGAAATATTTTCCCCTTATGTATATTAGTAGTTATAAGTGGGCCTGTTACATCATATCTGATACTTCCCTCGATACCTTTAAATGAGAAACATGCCTGTAAGGTGCGCCAGTAATAATATCAACGTTCGCCGCCTGTTATCATAAGCCCTGGCAATCGACCAGCCGACCGTGGTCTGTAGGCATTAACAAATTGCATCTCTTACCTGGATTTGTACGCCAGTCCTTCTGACTGGGGGAGTGTATCCGTTCTCTGTTGTGCCGTCAACGGGCCAACAGTAGTCACCCACTAGCTACGCCGCGTAAACGGGGTGAAAGGCATCGCGGG